ATTTGAAAGAGCTCAACTGGAATTCCATCACCTCCACTAGCTTTGTTCGTAGTGATGCTTCCTAAGGCCCACTTGACTTCACATTCCAGATGTTTGGCTCTAGGTGAGTGATCACACCATTGTGATTATCTGGGTCGTGAAGATCTTTTTTGTACAGTTCTTCTGTGTATTCTTGCCATCTCTTTTTAATATCTTCTGCTTCTGTTAGGTTCATACCAGTTCTGTCCTTTATCAAGCCCATCTTTGCATGAAATGTTCCCTTGGTATCTCTAATTTTCTTGAAGAGATCTCTAGTCTTTCCCAATCTGTTGTTTTCCTCTATTTCTTTGCACTGATCGCTGAGGAAGGCTTTCTTATCTCTCCTTGCTATTCTTAGGAACTCTGTATTCAAATGGGAATATCTTTCCTTTTCGCTTTTCTTCTTTTCACAGCTATTTGTAAGGCCTCCTCAGGCAGCCATTTTGCTTTTTTGCATTTCTTTTCCATGGGCATGGTCTTTATCCCTGTCTCCTGTACAACGTCAGGAACCTCCATCCTTAGTTCATCAGGCACTCTGTCTATCAGATCTAGTCCCTTAAATCTATTCTTCGCTTCCACTGTATAATCATAAGGGTTTTGATTTAGGTCATACCTGAATGGGCTAGTGCTTCTCCCTCTTTCTTCAATTTAAGTCTGAATCTGGCAATAAGGAGTTCATGATCTCAGCCACAGTCAGCTCCTGGTCTTGTTTTTGCTGACTGTACAGAGCTTCTCCATCTTTGGCTGCAAAGAATATAATCAATCTGATTTCGGTGTTGACCATCTGGTGATGTCCATGTGTAGAGTCTTCTCTTGTGCTGTTTTAAGAGGGTGTTTGCTATGACCAGTGCATTCTCTTGGCAAAACTCTATTAACCTTTGCCCTGCTTCATTCCACACTCTAAGGCCTAATTTGCCTGTTACTCCAGGTGTTTCTTGACTTCCTACTTTTTGTCCCCGATAGCAAAAAGGACATCTCTTTGGGGTGTGTGTTCTAAAAGGTCTTGTAGGTCTTCATAAAACCGTTCAACTTCAGCTTCTTCAGCATTACTGGTTGGGGCATAGGCTTGGATTACCGTGATATTGAGTGATTTGCCTTTCCAACAAACTTGGAAAGTTATGATAGGCTTAGCTAAAGATAGAAAATTGATGTGCTAACACTAGTGATTGTTAAATCTTTGAAATCATTAAACTGTTAAATCTATAAAATCTTTATTCCTAGTTCACCAAACTGTGTACTTTTATCATCAGAAATAAAACTTATCTTATTGAACATAAAAAAAAAAAATAGAAAAAACAAAGGTCCAGAAGCCAGATGGAAATATGTGTCTGAAACACACAGAAGTCTAGCGATTTGACATCAAAAAATGCCTGGTACTAAGCGACAATAAGTACAACAGAAAGAATTCCATAGTTTATACACACTACTGAAGGCTGGAGGTTTGGGGACTGCTGCCCTTCTGGCGCACCCTAGAGCTAAGCTTTGTTATTGTTGTTTAGTCACTAAGTTGTGCCCATGGACTGTAGCCCTCTAGGCTCCTCTGCCCATAGGACTTCCCAGGCAAGAATAATGGAGTGGGTTGCCATTTCCTTCTCCAGGGATCCAACCCATGTCTCCCGCACTGGCAGGCGAATTCTCGCCACTGAGTCACCAGAGAAGCAACAGCAAAGGAATTTCAACTCTGACACAGATTCCTCTCCTTTAAAATCAGGGTATCATTTATCTCACCGTTTTGGTAACATGTGGAAAATTCCTAACAGAGTAGAGCTCAACAAACACTGATTGATAACTTTTATTTAAAGTCCCAGTCCTTTTGCTACTAAGGAGCCTGAACTGCTGCTACATATTAAAGGTGTGCATGCATGTGTGCTAGGTTGCCTCAGTCATGTCCAACTCTTTGCCACCGTATGGACTGCAGCCCGCCGGACTCCTCTGTCTATAGACTCTCCAGGCAAGAATACTGGAGTGGCTTGCCATGCCCTCCATCCAGGGGGTCTTCCCAACCCAGGGATAGAATCCATTAAAAGTGTTCAGCCCCAGAAAAAACTGCAGAATTAAGAGTAATAACAGGTTTGCCAAAGGATGGGAGAGAAAGAAGAAATGACAGAGTAAAAGTAACTGTGCAGCTGAGAAAGTATGGAATATAAGAGTCAGAATACATAAAACTCCAGCCCTGGTTCCAACATACTCATTAGGTGACCATGGGTAAGTGGCAATAACGGAGACTTCACCAAGCTTCTGAGAGAATTAAAGGAGAGAAAGTTTGTGGAAACATTTTATTCCCTAAAAAGCATCATACATGTGTACTTTACTCAACTAACTTTATTCATTATTAACAATTGGTACTGATGGGTTTTGTAGATTTCTCTTCCCCAATTTTAAGAACTAGCAATAAGTTTTTAGCTATTTCCCAGAAGATCAAGATTTCAGGTACTGGAAAATAACTATGATCCCTCTAAATCCTCTATCATCATCAATGTATCAACCAGTACCACAAACAACTACTTCCTTCAACTGTTACCCTTTATGTACCATGCACTGCCATTTATTCTGTTCAACCACAGCTATCTCAACCAAGGTGTCAGTGGCTGTTGTGATAAAGCTCTTAACAGACTTCTAATAGACAGGGGAGTTATGGCTGCTAATGCTCACCCTTTCACTATGTGGGGTGGTCTGGGGCAGCTGGTCCAAGAAAAGGGCCCCATCTAGAGTGCCCCACTTCCAGAGCCACCTTAACTCTTCCAAATGACCCTATGGGCTAAACAATTATCAACTCTAATGGTGCTCAAAAAACAAACAAAAACTAAGTGAGTTCTAGTCCCAGTTTTGCCTGCTACTTAATATAAAATTTTTATTCTCATTTATCTACTTTACCTGCCTCAGGAGATTTTCTTAAGGGTCAAGTGAAATAATATACATGAAAGCCCTTTGCAACCGAAATCACTACAAAACGTAAAGTACTACAACACAGCATTTTGAGAGTTAAAGGAGTTTTTTGACTCTCAGTTACTGAAAGTTTACTTAAATGTTAAACTTCAAAATCAGAACTACAGCCTCTAGACTGCTCTGTCCAACTAAACTTGAACAATAACAAAGATATTCTAGAGTTGTATATAACTGATGTCCCAGACAGTAGCTACTAGCTATGTGTGGTTATCCAGTATTTGAAATGTGGCCAGTGGAATTGGGAAACTGATTCTTCATTTATTCAACTTTAATTATCTTAAATGGCTACATGTGGTTACTGGTGACCATACTGGATAGCCTGGAAAATTTAGTTGCAGCTGCAGTCTGTGATAGGAAGCACAGGCCATTGACAGACTGTGCCAATGGGGCAGAAAGCAGGTTTAAGAGGGAACAAAACAGATGTGCTTCCCTTTATGACAACCTGATACACCAAATCAAACAGTAACTTGGAGGAGATAATTCCCATTCACAAAAGCATTCATGTTCCTTTAAATATTAGTTACATAAATGTGTTCAGTAAGAGTCCCAATTTACACACAATTTTTCAAGAAAGCAACCAATGTAGAAAACAAGGCAACAAGGCATCCAGGCAGATGGACATCAAAGACTGAAAAGTAACAACCCCACCGTGCCTTAACAAATAACCCCAGCTTGCCTTCATTATCTCCTCCACAGTTCATACAACAAAAATTTAGTGAGCATCCACTACCTCACAGATTAAGGGGAAAAAGATGAGTAGGTCCCACACCCTACTCTCAGGAACTTCACAAAGAAGAAACTAGAGAGGAACACAAACCCAGCTGTTTTTCCCTGCTTCCTACTACAGGACAGCAGGTCAGAGAGCTGTTCAGACCTACATTATATTAAGGCTCCATCCACCACAGTGCTATACTCTGAAATTATGAGTACATTTTATCTCTATTGTATCTAAACGGGATTGTGTCTTTGAGAAACAAATCTACCCAAGAACACAAAACTGCCAACATATTCTGGGCAAATTTTTTTTCACATCTGTTTCGACATTTAGTACACAAAACTCAACGCTGTGGGCCTAGGAGGCGGCTGAGGCTAACAGGTGGGATTTACCGAGCCCTCCAGACTCCCTACAATATGTGTATGCTCTTACTGGTTTCTTTAAATAGTCCTGTGAGGCCTACACGACTCTTATCCCCCCAGTAACAGACATTAGACAAACTGGATAATAAGTGTCAAAGCCCAGTTTAAAACCCTGGCTTGCCAGTCCAACGCAGGAGACTTTTTATTCGACAGCAACCAGAGGAAGTGGAGAAGGGCATGGCATCTCACTGCAGTATTCCTGCCTGAAGAATCCCACGGACAGAGGAGCCTGATGGGCACCAGTCCATGGGGTCGCAAAGAGTCGGACACGCCTGAAGCGACTTAGCACGCACCAGAGGGAGCACACCGGGAAGTTCGGGGACGAGCGGGTGTACCCTAAATGGACAAGGACTTGGAGACAGAACGTTTCCAGACCCGGCAGGATGAAGAGAGGCCAGAAGAAAGCCCCGGCCGCGACACAAACTGGGCGCGAGGTTCACCGCGGTCTCTGGTAGGGCAAAGGTTAGATCCACGCCAAACCGCACGGAGAACCAGCAGCAGCAAACTGCCAGCTTCCCTGAGGGCACAGGGGGCGCTGGGACAGGGAAATCGGGGGCCCCAGGCTCCCGTCCCCCGCCAAGCGTCGGTGGACCTGAGAAGCAACTTGGCAACCGGACGACACGGAGGAAGCGACCGCACGGGACGACCAGCCCGGGGCCAGGAGAAGGCAGCGGGGCTGGGCTTGTGGCCCGCAGGCCGGCGCCCGGGAGAGGACGACAGAACTGGAAACCTCTGCAGGCGACAGAGGCGCCGCCACCAGAGCACCCACGAGCTCGGCGCGCCCCCTCGCGCGCCCCACCCCGCGCGCCTCACCTGCTCTGCGCTTGCCCGGATACGCTCAGCGTTCGTGTCGCCACCGCGCCGCCGCCCAGGCCCGGCCCTCGGCTCCCGCGGAAGCCGCCGGCTCCTGTGCGGGGTCGCGCGAGAAGCCGCCACCGGCCGGCCGTGTCGCCGAGGGCGGCGGAGGCGACGCGCAGGAGGCGGGCGGCCATAGCCTGTCGGGGAACTACGGGAGGCGACGCAGGCCGCACGGTAGCGGCCGCGGGGTTACGTTCGGCGAGTACGGGCGAGCTGACGCCGCGCGGGTCTGCGGAAAGGAGAGGCACAGGGGGATCGCAGGACCGGGGTTCCCTCGAGGATCTGTTGCGTCCACCACCGCGGGCCCCGCGCGCCTTCCGGGTGACTATAAGGCCCGCGCGCCCTAAGCGCAGCTCCGCCCCTGCCCGCGCTCCGCCCCGCCCCCTGGCTCTGGCTTTAGGGGCGGGGCTCTGCGCCTCGTTTTACCTACCGACCAGGTTTTGTCTTCATCTTGCTGCTTCGTTGGCGTCTAGGGTCCCCAAGTGAGGACATTAAATTTTAAAAGATAGCAGAACGTCTGACGAAAAGATACAATAAAGCAATCCCCAGTTAACTATACCACTCTTTTTTTTTTTCTGCACCTCCCTCCTTCTCCTGCCTATTAAAAAAAGTGGGAGATGGCCATCTTGGAGTTCAAAAAATAGAATAAAAGAGAATTACAACAGTTGTTAGAAAAAAAAAAAAGGACCGTAGGAAATTTCAACATGGTAATAGGCAGATACAAAGAAGAATAACTGTGACTCTAAAGTTATAAATAATCACAGTAATGAATGAACGAGGATACCGGAGAAGGCAAGTGATATTCCCAGATTTTGAGTGGTAAATAAATGCTCGTTGAGCAGCTGAAATCCATGAGCCTGAACAGGAAACTTTGACGAACTGAGAGCTTTTTAAGAGTTTTACAAAACCAGCAAGATGAATTTAAAAATACACTTCATCGTGGTTAATACGTGGTGGAACGCATGGGCTTTGAGGTCAGAAATAGCGATGTTCAAATCCAAGGTCTACCACTTTTGAGCTCTTGAGACCTTGGATAAATTACTCTCTTAGAGGATCAGAATCCCCAGAACACTTTTACGTGGATAAGATGTTCCATCCTTCAGGGCCATCCTGAGGGTTAGACAAACTAACCCGCAAGATGGGGTAAGGATGGGATAGTGCGTCACAAAGAGCCATAACTCTTCCTGAGCCTTCCTGCCTAAGGCTACTCTTTAAAGGTTAAAGTCAGGTGGCTCTTGCAAATATGCTAAACACAATAAAAGATACTTTAAAGAATATTCAGAACAAGAAAGTGTAGACCTGAGGAAAGCGTCTCTGGACACAATGTACCGTGAGTATTGAACCCGGAGGGCAAAGAGACACGCAGTCTACCAGCTCCTAAATTGCCTCAATCTTCCGATAAAGACCTTCAAGTTGAACCGTTCTCAGCAAACCCTGAGAGTAGCCTGGGAGAGGAGGTTGTTTTTAAAAAGTTAATCATTTTTTAAAGGTGAAATCTCCAAGGTCAGATGAATTACTTGTAGGAGAAGAACTTGAAACAAACAAACATTCCAGAAACCTCTCAGCCCTCCTGTAAATCCAGCTTCAGCTCAGCTGAGGCACTTAGAGATTACTGCTTTGTGGGGTAGTTGTTTGTATACATAGTTCCTTTTAGTAGTCCCCATGCTTCCAGGGCCATGGCCTTGAGTGTATCAGGGTTTCAATAAGTATCTGTAATTAAATGAATAATATAATCTCCATTAGTAATCATCAGAATTCATGAATCATGTGCAGGAAAATTAAAAATGAGGAAAAAATAGTTTTCCAGATTTTCAAAGGGCAGTAAGGGTAGATTCCAAAAATCACAGACATGCAGATTCAGCAGTATTCCAGAGGCAATTTATACGTTCATAAACAAAGATTAAAAAGCAATATGGAATTACTGAGGACATGCTTTTGCTGATGTATTTATCTAAAACTCCCACTCTCCCATCTTTCACTCCTGTCAAAATCCATCCGTGTTTTGAAAGTATGAAAGTAGAAGTCTCTCAGTCATGTCGGACTCTTTCTGACTCCACGGACTATATAGTCCAGGGAGTTCTCCAGGCCAGAATACTGGAGGGAGTAGCTGATCCCTTCTCCAAGGGAATCTTCCCAACCCAGAGATCACACCCAGGTCTCCCGAATTGTAGGCCAATTCCTTACCAGCTGAGCCACAAGAGAAGCTCAAGATTACTGAAATGAGTAGCCTATCCCTTCATTCATCTCATATTTGATCTTTCCCATGAAGTCATAGCTACTAATCACAAAAGATCATCCCTCCCTCTGCTAAATGCCTGAGATCTTTATTCTTGAAAACTTTGTGGTCCTCATTGTTTCAAATAGGATAGTGTTCATGAAAGTGCTTCGTAAACTGTAAAGTGTTATAAAAATTCCGGTTCAGCGTTGATTGAGCACCTACTCTGAGCTTCAGGGTACCATGTGCTCTATCACAAATGCTTTGTATACCTCCTCTAGAGTGAATGCATCAAAAGTAGGAAGGCTGTCTTATTCCTCTTCATATTCCCAGCACCTGGCATAGTGCCTGGTACAAAGCAGCCATTTAATAGTATCTTTGTTAAGAACTATGTCATAGACTTCCACAATTTTTTAAAATTAAAGTGTCCTTGATTTACAATATTATGTTTCAGGTATACACCAAAGTGATTCAGTTACATTTTTTTTTCAGATTATTTTCCACCATATGTCATTTCAAGATACTGAATATAGTTACCTTTACTACACAATAAGTCCTTTTTCCTTATCTATTTTATGTATAGTAGTTTGTATCTGTTAATACCATACTATTTATCCTTCCCTTTCCCCTTTGGTAACCATAAGATTGTTTTTTATGTCTGTGAGTCTGTCTCTATTTTATATATAGAGTCATTGGTGTTACTTTTTATATTCCACCTATAAGTGATACCACATAACTCTTGTCTTTCTCTGTCTTACTTCACTAAGTATAATAAACTCTAGGTCCATCCATGTTTTTGAAAATAACAGTATTTCATTCTTATTTGTGGCTAAGTAATATATACAGCCAGCATCAGCTCCACGGCCAGAGCACGGGACCCGATAAGCACCAGGGATTCAGTGCTGGCAACACAAGGAACCTATAGAATGCTGTACATGTTGATGCGCCATCTGCATGCAGTATTGGGGGAACCTCAGCACAGCCTCACTCGAGATGACTGAAACCCCTCCCCTTCTAGCCCTAGAATGCCCACCAGTGATTTATATATACTTATCTCACATCTTAATCCACTTGTCTTTTGATGAGCACTTGGATTGTTATGTCTTGGCTATTGTAAATAGTGCTATGAACATGTATGTTTTTGAATTTGAATTTTCATCTTTTCTGGATATAAATACTCAAGAGTGGGATTTCTGGGTCATATAATAGCTCTCTTTTAGTTTTTTAAGGAAACTCCATGCTGTTTTACATAATAGCTACACCAGTTTACATTCCCTTCAACATTTTTGGAAGGTTCCCTTTTCTCCACACCCTCTCCAGCATTTATTGTTTGTAGACTTTTTGATATTAGCTATTCTGACAGGATTGAAGTGGTATGAAGTGGTATTTCATTGTGGTTTTGATTTGCATTTCTCTAATAGTTAACATTGTTGATCATCTTTTCATATGCCTGTTGGCCATCTACATGTCTTCCTTGGAGAAAAGTGTTTATAGATCTGCTCATTTTTTGTTTGAAGTGCTTGTTTTTTTTGATATTGAAGTATAAGAGCTGTTTGTTGGAAATTAAGCCCTTGTCTGTTGCATCTTTTGCAAATATTCTCTCCATTCCATAGATTGTCTTTTCATGTTGTTGATGGGGTATTTTTGCTGAGCAAAAGCTTTTACATTTTATTAGGTCCCATTTGTTTGGTGGCACTAGTGGTAAAGATTCTGCCTGCTAATGCAGTAGACACAAGAGACACCAGTTCAGTCCATGGGTAGGGAAGATCCCCTGGAGAAGGGAATGGCTAACCACACCAGTATTCTTGTCTGTAAAATCCCCTGGACAGAGGAGCCTGGCAGGCTATAGTCCATGTGGTCACAAAGAGTCAGATATAACTGAGCAAGAAATAGGACATGTTTATTTTTACTATTATTTTCTCTGCCTTGCAAGACAGCTATGAAAATATTGCTACAATTTACATCAGAGAATGTTTTGCCAATGTTCTCTTCTAGGAGTTTAATGGTATCATATCTTATATTTAGGTATTTAAACCATTTTGAATTTATTTTTGTATATGATGTGAAGGAGTGTTCTAATTTCACTTATTTACATGTGACTATCCAGACTTCCCAACACCACTTACTGAAAATCTGTCTTTTCTCCATTGTATAGTCTTACCTCCTTTGTCACAAGTTAATCGACCGTAGGTGTGTGGGTTTATTTCTGGGTCTCTGTTCTCCTCCACTGATCTATATGTCTGTTTTGAGCCAATGCCATACTGTTTTGATTACTGTATCTTTGTAGTGTAGTCTGAAGTTTGGAAGGGTTATACCCATAGTGTTGTTCTTTATTCCTCAGGATTGCTTTGACAATTCTAGGGCTTTTATGATTCCATATAAATTTTAGGGTTATTTGTTCTAGAAACTTTTATAATTTTTATCTCATACCATTAGCTCAGCAACTCTGTAGAGAAGACATAAATATTTACTGACATTAGCAGTGTGAAAAATCACAATGCTAGTGCTGAAGACACAGCAGTGAACAAAACAATCCCTACCCTCTTATTTTACAGATGAGCAAACTGAGGGACACAGTAGTTGTGACTTTCTTAGACTTATACTGCTATTAAGTTGTGAATCTAAAATTTAAATCCAGGTCTTCCTGGTCCCAAGTCTGGGGCATAAGCATAAGAAATGACCATTTTATTGTTTTATTATATATATTTACACATCATATTCATGTAATTTTATTATTATATTATTGTACATTATGTTATTATGAATATATATTTATATCACATGCATTTTTCACATCTATATCCAATAGTAGATGCTTTAGACTCTACGCAATCCATAAAATTTAGAAATAGGATCAGAAATTAGCATTATCTTAAATTTTAAAAAGAAGTATGAAATTAAGCTAAGTATATTTCACTCCCAAGAAATTACTCCACCCCCAGTGATTTGTTAATATGGCTGATAAAATTGGTGAATTTCCTAAATTTAAATTAAATCACCTGTATGTAAATAAATTGCTGTCTTTGTCTTAATTGATCTTCCTGTCTGCAGTTAGCATCCATCATACTGCCTGACTCAGATGGTAAAAAACTGCCTGCAATGCACGAGACCTGGGTTCGATCCCTGGGTGGGGAAGATCGC